AATCTCTCACCACGCCAGCCTCCTGGTAACCGTCCCCCGCACTCTGCTCTGCGTTGAGACTGTCTGCAACTGCCAGGTGGCTGGTGCGGCAAGCGGTTACCACCTAGAGACGCGAGCTACGAAGAGCGGCTCAAACTGGATTGGCGGACTGCGCTCGGGGAAGAAAGGAGCAGCATATAAAGAGAGCCAGGAGCCAGAGTATTCACTCTCTGAAGATGGAATGACGAGATAACTATCCGAAACATCAGATAAAAATACACCTTTCTCGGTGAACGCCCTTCCTCCTTCTGAAATATCCTCTGGGGATCGAATTTTCGCAACTATTATAGGTCAACTAAATTAAGCAAATGTGCCATAACCCCCTAAATAAGGAAAAGATCTTTTTTATATAAAGAAAGTGGAGCGGTAATTCATTGAACTTAATGGAAGATTTCAATTTATTGTTATAATTTATAGCAATTTTTACGTCCGCGGAACCTGAAAATTATTAGGGAATTTTCCTTTTTCTAAACAAGCAATTAGTACCTCTTATATTTCTTTTAAGTAACAAACTTGCCTATGGTTGTTCATTATAACTTCTTAGTCTTCGTACATGCGCTAATGCCGATTTGGGAGTGATAATCAATATTTCTCAAACTACGGCAGGTCGCACGATTTAGTAGACATACTGTTCATAAAGAGTACCTGCGAACAACAAATGCTTCTAGGAATGCCCTGTAACAGACTACGTTGGAGGTGCATTGCATCAACACGAGGACTCGACACGCGTTAGGACTCAGGATAAACACGAAATTCCGGAGGATGGTGACGCAGTAGGCACAGACTCAGGCAATGCTAGCCACTTCCACACAATATCTGCATCAGATGGTTGGCCAGCTCGGAGAGTGGACTGTTCGGCTCTATGGACTGCGTCCTCAGGGCACTCAGTGTACATTCGTCACTATAAACAATCAGGGATATAATGTTCTGCCTGCGGACATCGTTATGTTCCCGGCCGTGAAGAACTTCAAGACTAAACTTGCCCAGTACAGCCATACGCACAACCATGCCATCAGAAGCTAACGCACGCTTCTACTCTCCAAAATGTTAATGTTATAAAACACGCTACTCCTTACTTTCCAGTAACACTATTTTACTAATTGTTTTGTCATGAGCCCTGTGGGTAGCGATGTTTTTTTATCATGGGGGATTCAAGGGTATCCTCCTACCTTTCCCCTAATAAAACTGAACCAGGCTTAACTTAAACGCCGCGGCTTTAAAGGCTGCAAACTGACGAGAGACTCGATGGTCCCGGGATGGCTGCAGTGGCTCTTGAAAGTAGCCCAGCTATGTTACTTGCGTTCACAGTTGGGATCTGAGTCGCCCTCTCCTGTTTATGCAAAAACAACCCGCTCCACGGTGCGCGAACCAGGCACTTGTGGCCTGTACATACACACGGTTCACGCACACTTCGCCGACACTGCGACCCCCTTTGATGGGATATGACTTTTATTTGCAACAGTAGACTTTTGTCAAGCATCTGTT